GTACAAGAATAAAAAAAAAGTATATATATATATATATATATATAAATACACTATATATATATAGTGTATATATATATATAGTTTATATATATATATAAACTATATATATATAATTATATAATAAATAAAAAGAAAACAGATAGAATAGAAAAAGAATAGAGCAAGCTAGTGTTAGAGGCATTTTTTGCTTTTGTTAATTGTATAATAAATAAAAACAAACCAAATAGATAGAATACAAAAAGATTAAAGTAGCTAGTGTTAGTTTTTTTTAAAGAACACAAGCAGTTAGTAAATGAATAGAGTGCAAGTGTAAAAGGGGCAATTTTTTTAAAAGAATAGAATTAAAATAGAGAGTGCTAGAGTTAGAGGGTCAAATAAAGATGGAAGAGATGTGTTTTAGCCGATTCTTGAAGATGACTAAGGACTCAGCTGCTACCATGTGGGAGATTGGTGAGGCATTTAGGAATATTGATGTGTGTTGTTATATTGTGCATTCTGGACATTTGGAGATTGTGTTTTATTTGATGTCTTCTGTTTGAGTGTTGTGTGTTTGTTGGATGAGTCCGAGCTGAGCAGCTCAGTGCTGGAGCTCAGGTGACATGGCTAATTAGGGATGAGGTTTCAGCCAAACACACAGATGATACCCAGGGAGGCAAGAACGCCCTCTGCAATCAGGACACTGGATAGAAAGTGTGGCTTCCCCCCAAAAAACCTCTGACATGAAGTATTGAACATGCTCACCTGATCATAATAAATGGTATTTAAATGTACTAATTTAATTAGTATGTTTGCTAAGGCAGGAATTCTGTTACTGTTATTTTGTAAGTATTAAACAATTCTTCCACTCTATTTTCAAATTGATTTTTTTTTTTGAAAGAGGTGTACTATACTTTTCTAAGTGATCAAACATACAGTTTTTATCTGTTTTTTGCTTTTGTTAATTGTATAATAAATAAAAACAAACCAAATAGATAGAATACAAAAAGATTAAAGTAGCTAGTGTTAGTTTTTTTTAAAGAACACAAGCAGTTAGTAAATGAATAGAGTGCAAGTGTAAAAGGGGCAATTTTTTTTAAAGAATAGAATTAAAATAGAGAGTGCTAGAGTTAGAGGGTCAAATAAAGATGGAAGAGATGTGTTTTAGCCGATTCTTGAAGATGACTAAGGACTCAGCTGCTACCATGTGGGAGATTGGTGAGGCATTTAGGAATATTGATGTGTGTTGTTATATTGTGCATTCTGGACATTTGGAGATTGTGTTTTATTTGATGTCTTCTGTTTGAGTGTTGTGTGTTTGTTGGATGAGTCCGAGCTGAGCAGCTCAGTGCTGGAGCTCAGGTGACATGGCTAATTAGGGATGAGGTTTCAGCCAAACACACAGATGATACCCAGGGAGGCAAGAACGCCCTCTGCAATCAGGACACTGGATAGAAAGTGTGGCTTCCCCCCAAAAAACCTCTGACATGAAGTATTGAACATGCTCACCTGATCATAATAAATGGTATTTAAATGTACTAATTTAATTAGTATGTTTGCTAAGGCAGGAATTCTGTTACTGTTATTTTGTAAGTATTAAACAATTCTTCCACTCTATTTTCAAATTGATTTTTTTTTTTGAAAGAGGTGTACTATACTTTTCTAAGTGATCAAACATACAGTTTTTATCTGGCAGATGAAAAATGAGGAAGAAAATCATGGTGCAGAAGTCATAATTTCTATACTACTATAGTATTTATTAATATTCTGAATGAGCTTTTTTTTTTATATTTTCAGATTTTAATTTTTGTGTCTTAATATAAAGTAATGTTTTTATATTTCAGTATATTTTATACTAATATTACTATTAAGCTTTAAATTAATTTCAGTTTTTTTTTATTTTCAGTATGTTGCAACATTTCTAACTTTCTTTTAAGTTTTCTTAATTTATTATCTAATAAATAAGTTCTACAGTATCTAAAATTTTAATTTGTCATGTAATATTTATATTTTATTTAAGCTGAATTTCACTAATGCAATTCACTAATTCACTAATGCAAACCATTTTTAATAATACGTTTCTGGTAACAATAAAACTCGAACCACATTTTGTCTTTTACACTTTTACACTTGAATGGACAAAACATGAAAGAAAAAAAAGAGCAGAAAATAGGTTTAACTAAATATTTAATCTGCAAACATGTTGCATGTCTTCAAGAATTGTTGGTATAGATGTATGTTTATGGCAGCAGGTTATGTGTAAAAATGTAAACAAATGCATATATAACTCTGAAATAAAACAGAAACAGATGCACTTACGCAGCCTAAAACACACAAGCAGGAGTTTTTCCAAGAGACAAACTATAAAACAAATAAAACAGCCAGCAGTGACTGTATTACATCATGCAAGGGCAGTGATGAATGTATGTTGAAAAGTTAGGCTTAGCAAGTGCATCAAAATGAGCAAGTTGGCATGAATTTACACACAATACTATACACATTCCTTTTGAGTTTATACAATTTACACAGAAATTGATTTTATTAACACATTAATATAGCAGATTATTTACTGATATAGAAGTGTCTCATCTTATCGCTGTGAAGGAGATAATAAGAATAAGACACATTTGGCATAAATGTTCAGAAACAACATCCGAAAATAACATAAAAGAGTGCTCACTTACGGATAAGCGAATGTCACAAATGTTTTGGATCTCTGCTGATATTTCTGGCTCAAATAGTAGCTTAAAGAGACAAAATTTCATAGAGACGTTTCACCTCTCTCCTAATATTTTTGCCCTTTCTCAAAGGGATATTAAAACAATTTTCATATATACAGTATGGCACAAAAATGACAGTTTACATACAAATACATACACATAAAGCCGTTGACGGATCTGCAAGACTATGAAAATTGACCTTGTGAGGCCTGTGGAGGAATCAGTCACTTTCTGAGTGTCACATATAGGATACTGTACCAAGCGAGACAAGAGATCTGTCCAACAGGGCATTTTTTTTAAACAAAATGGGCCTCTCGATGCTCTAGCTCCTGCATACGGCGACTGCGTCTCTGATAGAGGGGTTTGGCGTCTGTAGGGCTGAGCTCCTCTGCGCTGGAGCTTGGAGATTGAGGCGGAGAGAGTGTGACGGGGCTGATGGAGTCGTTCTCTGATAGTCCTTCCTCTGCTCCAGATACAGCGCTCGTCACTGTCGTAAAGGTCGGCTTGGCCGTTAGAGCGATAGTCACTGATGTTGTTGGTGTGGTTGGGGGAGTCGTGACGGCTGTGGAGACTGTCGAAACTGTTGATGTGGCCGCTGTTGTAAATATGGTAATGGATGTTGTGTATATGGTTCCTGTGGTAGTGGTTGTTGCTGTTGAAACGGTTTTTGCCAGCGAGTCAACTGGCCTGATTTGGCTTACTGATGGAGGTCTATAGAACGTTCCGGGAGGGGGTTTTAGTGTCCGTGGCGCTCGTAAGGATATCGGAGTCCCGGCGGACTGGCTTGTACCATCTTTTCTACTGGTGCTGCTTTGGGGTACAACGCTAATTTCCGACGGTTTTGGCACGCCAGAGGATGGCAGGTTGGCCACTATCATAGCAGTTCTGGGCGTCACATCGTAATGCTTGTACTGTCTGTCCCAGGTCCTCCTCAGTGTCTGTGTGTCGATGAAGGGGTTTCTGTAATAGTTGGTGAAGCGTGGTGTCGAAGGCTTGTCCGGTTCGGTGGTCTCCTGAATGGCGGCCGGTGAGTGTTCACGCTCTTCTGTGTTGCGACTGTTGCGCTCGTTGAGCAGTCGCTCCACAGGCATGCTGATGGGTCGAGACACCGGCTTGGTGCGCTGAGGACGTAGTTGCACCACTCGGCTGCTGGCACTGAATGTGGACTTCTGCACGCCTACAGGAGCTGAGCCAACCCCATTGACATCTGAGCCCTCACCTGCTGGAAAGAAAAATACGTTTGAACTTCATATATACAAATTATTAATTCAGAAGAGACATAAAAAAATTACTCTCAAAATCTGCCTGCAATTTTTGCATTTCCAGGTCAGTTTTGACTAGGGGTGACCCCGAATAGTCGACGATTCGATGCTTCGATAGGAGGAGCCTGATTCGACTACCAATCTCACAGTCGAATATTCGTGGGGTGTTATGCTCATGCCATTTTGGCTATATGGGGGTCCTCAATGTTTGATTTCACATAGAACTACCGGTTTCCTCCCAATAATATACAGCCTATTAAGATAATGCTGTAAATAAGAATATGAAAAGAAGGAAGCTTTAAAAAAATATTTTAACGTGCGTGGATAAATTCAACCACCCCTATAGATTTAAGTTTCACTTTCCATAATCCGTGACCGACAGAGGAGCATCTTGGCGGCAAGGATTTATATCTTTAACAAGACACACACTGACACAGGTAGAGTGAAAGACAGGATTTTTTTTCGATCAGGTAGAGTACAAGTGATTTCAAAACATTTCAGCCGGTTTATATATATCGTATATATATTATTTATCTCGTATAAGATGCATTTGGTTGAGTTGCGCTGCAGTAAAGCGCTTCATTGTAGTACTAAGGTGTAGTACTATTATCTCTTCAGCGTGCAGACCGCAGCAGTACAAACAATGCAGAATATTAATAACTATGACTGGGACTGTCATATACATAACATTATAATGAGAACACAATTATAATAAAACGCTGTGAATTTTTAGAGTTTATTTGCCATGTTTCTGCACGTTGTTGCATGAAGAACGTGTCCACAAAAGGAGTTCATTCAGAGCCGCGCAGAAGCAAAGTTTTGAAAGTTTGTGTTATTACCATGTTATTACTATATTTACCCACTTTCATAAATTAAAATTCTCAAATTTTACAAACTACAGAAGAACTACTGTAGCCACGTTTCCATAATCCTTCAAAATGCGCAAACTGAAATTGCGAATTGAAAATACGCCTAATGGAAATGAATCAATTTTGCAAAAACTCCGATATATCGCAAAAAAGTTTATACGTTCGCGTGAGGTGGTTTTTCAGGCAATTTGAAAAAGGAATATTTCGCAAAACTGCAACAGAATGCAGTTTTTTTTCGCATTTACAGGTCATACGCCTAATGGAAACACATCAGTTTTGCAAAAACGCAGATATGTCGCAAAAACGTTTTTACGTTCACGTGAGTGATTTTTCAGGCAATTTGAAAGAATAATTTCGCAAAACTGCAACAGAATGCAGTTTTTTCGCATTTACATGTCATACGCCTAATGGAAACACGTCAGTTTTACAAAAACTCTAATATATCACAAAAAAGTTTTTACGTTTGCGTGAGGTGGTTTTTCAGGCAATTTGAAAAAGGAATATTTCGCAAAACTGCAACAGAATGCAGTTTTTACACATTTACAGGTCACCTGGCATACGTAAAAATAAACATGATAATTCTTTAATGTACTATAACCTCCAAGAAACACCTCATATGTGGCCGTTCTCAATTATAAAGGGCTTTCCTGGCCATTAATGCTTGGATAACCCCTTATTTACACTGCACACGTCTGCAGCACATTACGTCTCTGACACTTCCACCGGCCACTCCAGTCAGTGCTTGTGTTTATACCACCTGCGCCGCAGCACGTTTCAGAAGCGGCCCAGAAGCGGCTCTTTGCACTGCTTCACTAAACATACACTCCTATATGCCTATATGTTAAAAATAATGGCTAGTGCGGTGGCTGCAATATACATAAGCCTAGCAACATCAGTTGTCATGACTTTTTGCAAGAGGAAAAAAAAATCTGGTTTTAATCGCATAACATCAGTTAATGGAAATGCCGTCAATTCGCAATAGGTTTTTATTGACATTTATAAAATATCTCAAAAGTTTTGCGCAAATCTGTAATGGAAACCAGGATAGTGATGCAAGAAGCGTTTTATTTGAATATATCATTATATGAAATATATAAGAACATATCATCTGAGAATTACCATTTGTAACTCTTGAAATTAGTAGATTTAATTAAATTCCTTTGAACTTATAACTCATAACTGCACAAAACAGTCCACATTTATGAAATCTTCATTATTTCTTTAAACAAAACCACATCAGTATTACTCAAGAACATTTTCAAAACAAATATATTCGTTTTTCTTGCATAAACTTTCAAATGAAAAAATATGACAAAAAATTTCAGACAAAAAATATGATCTATTTTTCATGCTGCCATGGCTCATCAAAGGGGGTCAGTATTGATTTCATGTTAACTTTAATACCAAAGATGAGCAGAGACAATCATACTAACCAGGTGTTTGCCCTTTATCGTCCCCTGTCTTCATCTCCTTCACTTTCTCCATCAGCTGTGCAGAGGTAATCACAGACGAGTGTCTCTTGTAGACTTTTGCACTCTGTATGAAGGATAAACACAGATCAGAAATCAAAAACTCTAATATTTAAAAAAAAAAAGTCCAGCTTTCATTCTCTGGCCCAGCTCACCACTTTGATATCCATGAGAGATTGGGAGTGGCGGCTGAGCGCTGGCTGTGGTGCTGTCGGACTGGTGGGAGACACAGGGCTGAGGGGGACATCAAAGATCATCTGGTGGTGCCTGATGAGCAGGTCCACCATGCGGGCCTGGTGGGGGTAGTCAACCAGAGAGGACAGTGACACTTCCGCCTCCAACTGCCTGGGCTTGATGAGTGTGGGACCGAAGATGATACCCAGGTTACTAGCAGTCATCTTGTTCTCCTCAGCTTGCTCTGACACTCTGTAGAACAATGAGTCATAAATTATATTTCACTTTCACTAAACCCATTTAAGGACGTCAAGCAACAAGCAAAGAAAAACCGATCCCGATAACAGATTCCTGCTTCTTTGCTATATGAGCTTTTTAAACACGCTTTGGTTTATGGTTTGTGTTCGCGTACCTGTGCAGATGGGTGATGAGGAACTGCAGGGTTTTGTAGTGCGCCGCTGGAAGCTGGCGAAGGAGGTCTCTGATTTTGAAGAGGACTCTTTTAAGCTCAATACTGAGGCACAGCTGCTCTCCTGGTGATTTCTTTTTAGTCGAGTCAGTCTCCTTCATGTTCTGAGTCTCTTTTGCCAGCCCGATGATATCGTTGTAATACCGATACAGAATCAATGGCTCCGGCAGCTGAAAGACAATTGAATTCTTTTTTAGACAATGTCAAATCAGCAAAATGTGAAGAGTAATGGAACCCTATAGAGTGCAACAGCTGGGTTTTGGCAGAAAAATCTAATTCATTTTCTCCATAAGGAACTGATTTTTAACTTATAAACCCTTAAAGACAGACCTACAATGAGCTACAAGGTTGTTTATTGGTGATATAATCTCCATCAAACAGCGAATCACAACAAGCAAATCACACCAAAAGAACATTTTAGTGCCTGTCCACTCCCATGAAGCACTGCGAATGACGTAATAGTAATTTTTCATGTGCTGTCAGACTACTTAAATATCAGTGTACATATATATTTTGCAATACATGTAAAATATATTGTTTCTATACACAATCAACATCTTTAAACAATAGTTTTATATATATATCATCACATTATTTTGATTGTCATTCGCAATGCTTCATGGGATTGTGGCTGTTTCCCGTATTAAAGCTGTTATGTACATACCATATATATAAGATTTTCACATTTCAACATTTTTCAAGAACAAAGTTTGCAATGTTGTGATTCACCTCGTAGCTGGTTGCTTTGGCTCATGGCTTATAACTCTATAACAAATAAAAAATTCTTATGTGAAAAATACTTCCGAAACCAAAAAGCGGGCGGACACTGTTGCACTCTATTATTTCAAGTTTCATATAGACATTATGAAACTGGGATTATTTGTCCCACCACACCTGTCTCAGGTAAAGCTTGAGCACATTGCTTATGTCATGTGGGTGGAGGTCAGAAAGCTCCACTAAGTCTTTTCCGTTCTCAAAGGCCTGGCACAGCTTTTCCACACGAGACTTCGCCCCATTCACCCGATAAATGCCCTTGAAATGAACCGAAAAGTAGGCGTCATTCACTAAATGACTCACAAACATATAAACAAATTCCTTTCAGTTGCATCTCGATTCTTCACCTTAATGTTCAGGGCACGACTCTCGATTTCTGAGGTGCATTTTTTGATGATGAAGGGGATGCCGTCAGGACTGTTCTTAGCTACTTGGGCGAAGTCAATCCCGAACAGGTGCAGTCTGCCCTGGAGCTTCTTATGACCACACTGAATGGCAAGAGTCTCCAGGCATTTCTTATGACAGGCCAAAGAGCACTATGTAAAAAGAGATCAGGGAATGACAACCGGCTCTAATGAACAATGTGAACAGAACAGATGTGGGTGTTGATGATGACCGTACCTCCTCACATTCAGCCCCGTGAAACACCACCAGCCCGTCACACTCTCTGCATTTGGAAGGCGCTCGCAGTTTCCTCAACTTGTGAGTTTGTGACGCTTTTGACATCTGAGCATTACGAAAAGGGCCGGGAGAACTGGCCGTTTCCATCACCATTTCAGCAAGGCCTGAGACAAGAAAAGGCATGTGTTTTAATAGCTGAAAACAAAACAAAAAAATAATGTTCTGGTGTGGCCACAGGATCATCAAGAGTCTTAAATGTGAGTTGGGATGGGAATTGAAAGAACTTTCATGACTCTTGCATTCCTATTTAATTAATGGTTCTTTTAGTACTTTTAAGGAAGCATGACCTTCTCTCCAGTTCCTCAAATTTCCCTATTTTTAACATTTGTTTACATTCCGCAGTTATTACTGAAATGTAACACTTTTGGTGGAGAGACAGGAACTGTGGCATATTGCCAATGTCAACATCCAGCCCATCTGCACAGCTGCACTGAAAGCAAAAACATGGGTGCGAGCAATTCAGCACTTGCATAATAAACACAAACCTGTGGTGTCACTGTCACCACACACCTATGAACACAGACGCTCAAAATCAAGCTGTTCAGTTTGTACTACCAACCATTATCTAATGGGGAGGGTGGTTCCCTCTCATCCAGGTCATCTGCAGAAGACATGGTACCAGTTGAGGGAGTTCTGGGAAGCCTGCGTTTGAAATCCCCTGTAACACGAACACACACATAAACACACATTAGATACTGCCGTCCTGCAGAGCACTTCTCCATCCTGTCCACTGAGAACTAGGTCAACCATTTTACAAGCAAAACTTACAAACATGCCTAAACTAGCAATATTTTTAGAGGAACTTCTTTTTTGGATTAAACACATTGCACTCCACAATAAGAATTGCTGATGCAACTGGCTAGAGTAACACATTTAAGGACATTTGACAAAACTTGCCTGATTAGGCCAGTGCTGACATTCTCAAGTCCTAACAATCTATTGATCACATACATGTTTTTATGCCTGCTTTTTCTTTGATGTTGCGAACATTATTGTTTTGCACATTCTGTTAAGTTCTGCTGATGTAAATGTGTCACTATCTAGCTGGCTGATGTAGATGAGTTTCTGTGGTATGTATGATTTATAGCTGTCATAACATCTGTAGAATTTCCAGTAATTACTGCACATAATAAATTATGTTTCAAGTTGTTTAATGAAAAATATATTTAACAATTTTTGTTAATGTTGGCAAATAAATAAAATAAAATAAAATATGCAGCAGCAGTAGTAGTATTATATTGTTTAATGCCAGCATAGAAGGCTGTTTTGGCAAAAACAATAGAATAAACAAATGATATATAAATATATAGCAAATAATCTAGAATACAAAATATAGAAAATAGTGCTGTCAAACGATTAATCGCGACTAATCGCATCCAAAATAAAAGTTTTTGTTTGCATATTAGTGTTCTGTGTATATTTATTATGTATATATAAATACACACACATACAGTATATATTTTGAAAATATTTACATGTATTTACATGTCTATATTTATATTCATATAATTTGTAATAATGTTTAATATATAAACACAACATATTTTTCTGAAATATATACTTGCATGTGTGTGTATTTATATATACATAATAAATATACACAGCACACATACATATATTATGTAAACAGAAACTTTTGGTAACACTTTGTTTTAGGGTTTCTTAACTAGTTGCTTATTAGCATGCATATTACTAGAATATTAGCCATTTATTAGTACTAATTAAGCACATATTAATGCCTTATTCTACATGACCTTATTCTACATCCCTAATCCTACCCAATACCTAAACTTAACAACTAGCTTACTAAATATTAATAAGCAGCAAATTAGGAATTTATTGAGGCAAAAGTCGTAGTTAATAGTGAATAAGTGTTCCCTAATCTAAAGTGTTACCAAACTTTTATTTTGGATGCGATTAATCATTTGACAGCACTAATAGAAAATAAACACTGATATAACCCAGGGGTCAATTGATATTGAAAAGACATTAAATTGACATCAAAACTGACGTCAAAAAACAGGTCAAATATGCAAATCAAAATGAAGTCAAAAACTTGACATGACTTTGATTTGATGTAAATTGATCGTCAAACATTCATATTGGCCTACGTATACATTAAACCAATTTCGGAGTGGGATTAACTTCCTATTGTGAAATGCGCTGCAGGATGCTGTGCGTTGACACCAGAAAAAGTACCTGGACTAGCTGTGGGGGAGTCCATTGAGCGAGACTCACTGCTTCCTCCAGCACTCTCTGAGTCACTGCACATCCCTCCTCCACCGGCACTGCCTGAGCTCCAGGCCCGCTGGGAGCCCTGCGTCCTTAACGCTACAACACACAGAATTAACCTCAGAATTACCTTTCGTCCTTCATCTAGGAAATCTCTATCAGTCTGTCTACGTGTTTCATCCAGTTCAGAGTTCTCATCTCTAAAAACATGAGAATTTTGCTTATGTGCTTGATTTTAGTCATCTAGTCTGGATGCTGCATTAAATGTGAGCTCAGGCTGTAATCCAGCAGGCTGATGATGTCACAGCACAGGGGCTTTTTGGAAGCCGAGGGCCGATCTGGGTCTTGGGCCTTAATCCTGACTGCTGGCAGCTTTTGTTCAAGCTGTGGATGGCCAATGCTGGGTAAAAACCCACAGTGGACGCGTCAAGCCATAAAACTAATAAGCTGTTCAAGATGCTGAAGCTTGCCAAACATATGTGCCTAATAGTGCTACACATCTCAGGATCTTGTTTAAGTGGGAAGAAAATAAATGTCTTGGAGTTTTAGAGTCTAACAAATGCATAGGGCCCTATGATTTCTGTGATGCAGAAAACGTGGGCGGAATTGCGGAATCCAGTCATAAAAATGGAACTGTATAACGCAGAATGTCACAGAATTTACCAAATTTTGAATGGATGCATCAAAAGTAGGTAAACTACACTTAAATCGCTCACATTGTTTTCAGCCTCTGCCACCTCAAAATATGGGCACATGAACGCAAAAACATAATTTATCAGAGTCAATTCATGAGCATTTCACCATTTCTTTTTAGTAAAACTATCGTCATATACAAACAAAAACTTAAAGGTCTTCACAGCAACCCGTCAAAATAAAAGTTTAGTTTAACTTGAAGAAACCTTGTCAGAAACGTTACTTAATGCAATGATAGTACTACTACTACTAATAAAAGTATTATTAAATCATTATTTTTAAAGGAATATTTACCAGAGAAATTATTTACCAGAATTTATTTAGCAGAAAAATGTAAATACACACACTATTTCAGAAAAAAAAAGAAATAGATAAAATAATAATAAATGAATAAATAATTATTTAAATACATAATTTTAAAATCAATTAATTAGAGATGCTTTTGATTATTAATATTTAATGAAACCATTAAAATGGAATACAAAAAAATAATAGAAAACAGAATTTGGTAAAAAATAAAATCGAATTTGAGAAAAAAATAAAACATTTCACAGGGCCTTAAAAATTTAATTTTTGTTAAACTTTTAATAAATTACTGTTTAATATTGTAAGTTTCATGATTTCAATTAATTAGACATGCTTTTTGATGAATAATTTAAGCATTAAAACAGAGTCTAGAAAAATTTAAATGGGAAAAAAAAAACCGGAATTCAGAGAATTTAAAAATTGAATTTTGAAAAGAAAATTAAAACGGAATTTGGTGAAAAAAATAAATAAAATGGATTTCATAGGGCCCTAAGGCTGAGTAGACTGACGTTTTGCATGAGATCTGCATGAGCAGCCTGACGTAGCAACTTAGGCTCAATGTGAGTTACAGTGAGTTTGGATCAGGACTATCTGTTTATCCAAACAATGGAAGTAGGTGAAATCTGTTTAAAAAACAGTCATTATTGTTTTCATTCCATTTAGTGCAACAGAAATTGATAATTTTAAACCTACAAATTTTTGTCGCCAGTCTAGATCCTTAGCGACTCTTACCTTGCATGTCTAAACTGCTATTGGACCGCCTCTCTGCGATCTTGGCCTTGCAAGGTTGTACGGTACCCTCAACCCCATCTACGCTGTGGTTATCTGCAGAAGTTACAGAGCCTTGCGACAGGTTCCCATGGGATGAGCGGGTACTGCTCTGAGACCTCTTATGAAGGGACATTCTGGAAAGGAAAGTCACTTGTTAAAACATGCTTTATTAAAATACCGCAGGCAAAACAGGCTGTGCAAAATCTCTGCTGGTTGTGAAATGGGTTACTCAACAGGAAAGCGTGAGATTTGAATACACTGTAAAGAGAGTTGATAGCGCAGGCCAGTATGTTTGTACGTGGGTGTGATTCAGATGTCAAGCTGAAAAGCAGAGTTTACACAGGGCAGCGATTATGGAGCGCAGAATTTCTGGATAAACAACACGCTATCACCGACCGTTGTTTCGTTCATCATTCTTCCTGAGGAAGATTCAAACAATGCAGCCTCTCTCTGGCCTGCACAGAAACTTGAGTGTGGACTTACCCAGTTTTTGAGGAAGCTGTGATGTCCTGAGACAGAGACTCCAGCCACACACGCTCTTTAGGCAGGCTGCACACAAACTCAGAGTAGCGCTGGCCTGGTTCATACTTTTTGGCCTGTTCACTTAGAGCTTGGTAGTTGACTGAGAGAGGCTGGGTCTGAGCCTGCTGCATCTGGAACCAGTTCACTGTCACCTGGGAGAGTTTTTGAGAATAGTCAGTATGCAATAATGGTATTTATTTTCATGGAGAAGGTCAAAAGTTTGGGGTCAGTAAGGCTTTTTTTTCAGCAAAAATGCATTAAATTAATCAAAAGTGACAGTAAATATATTTAAAATGTTACAAAAGATTTCTACTTTTAATAATAGCTGTTCTTTTGAAATTACTATTCATATAATGGTTTCCAAAAAATATTAAGCAGCACAACTGTTTCCAGCATTAATAATAATAATAACAATAAATGTTTCTTGAGCAGCAAATAGGCATATTAGAATGAGTTCTGAAGGATCATGTGACACTGAAGACTGGAGTAATGGCTGCTGAAAATTCTTTGCCATCACAGGAATAAATTACATTTTAAAATATACTAAACTGAAAACAATTATTTTAAACTGTAATAATATTTGAAAATTGTACTGTATTTTTGATTCAAAAACATTGAAAAATCTTACAGACCCAAAAACTTTTGAACTGTACTGTAGTGTTGTTGTGACATGGATACAGACCGCTTTGAGGGTCAAGTCACACTGGAAGACCAGCTTCCGAATTTGACCGAGGATCTCACTCTTAGCGTTTGACAGGCTGACCTTCTTCGCCTCTAGATCGGCCACACAGGCTTTATACTGCTCCTGCGCTTCCTCAGCCTAGAGTCACCACAAAAACAGACAATCAGCCAAACAAAACAAAAGCAGTGATTTTCCTAGCCTGTTTTAAGCCAAAGTGTGTCATTTCCGTGCCACCAGCTGCACCAAACAAGACTGCAAAAATGTTCCATTTCTTGAAGAAAATGCTCACTCATTTGCTAAGGTGTGATGTTATGCATTTGCTGGGTGTCTGGGTTGTAATAGCAACAGTAATGTTTAGATTATATGACCTGATTTTCAGACAGTACATCAGACGTTAAGAAATATCAAACAAATTCCAACAAACTCTGTGTTTCTCATCACCACTTTGATGCCCAATAAACAAGGACAATAAACTCACGGGTGTGTGTGTTTGTGCAGTCTTTGACCCTGTGGAGTTGAATATAGAGTTATAGTGCAGTTTCTGCAGTACCTTCTGTAGGGCCTCTTCCTCCACCCTCCGTTTCTTCTCCAGAGTCCTGCCTCCTGCTGTTGGCTGCTCCTCCTCGGTGCGGCTGGTGGAGCTGCGTGCCTTCTCGTACTCCTCCCTCTTCTGCACCTTCAGCAGCCGAGCCTTCTTCAAAGCGCTCTCAGCCTCGCTCTGAAAACACATGGGTTATTAAGCACTATCGGTCGTGAAGAAACATTAGTGATGAAATTCAAAGAATCGTATATACCATTTTCTTTAGCTCTCTTTGCCATTGTTCCTTTATCTCTTTCCTCTGCTTGTCCAGATCGTTCTTGCGGGCCAGCAGTGGCTGTTGGTATTATAGGAATTTTGTGGAATTAAAGAAAATTATTTGTTAAATAGTTAGCTACAAGTTAACAGCAGATATAACTGATCATACCTGTATGAATTTGTTGGTTTGTAGAGCTGCAGCTGTTTGGAGCAGAACCTGATTGTACTCAATCTCATTTTTAAAGGCAGAGACATAAATATCCCGGAACGGCATAAAGTCCTTTAGATAAAGGAACACAGCAACACAATAATGTCACTTAAAGAAACTACCATTCAAAAACTTGGGATTGGTAAGATTATTTTAATGTTTTTTAAAGAAGTCTCTTATGCACACAAGGCTGAATTTTTTTTTTATATATCAAAAATACATTAAAAAGAGCAATACTGTGAAATATTACTGCAATTCAAAATAACTATTTTCGATTTTAATATATTCTAAAATGTATTCCTATTTATCACTGTGATGGCAAAATTGAATACTCCAGTCTTCAGTGTCAAATGAATCTTCAGAAATAATTTGGTGCATTTCTTCTTTTTATTGTTGTTAAAAAGAGTTGTGCTGCTTAATATATTTAATTCAGGATTTTTTTTTATAATTAGAAAGATCAAAAGAACAGTATTTATTTGAAATAGAAATACATTATAAATGTCTTTACTGTCACTTTTAATTCATTTTATGTCCTTGTCAAATAAAAGTATTCATTTCTTTCAAAATTCTTCCCAAAAATTTGAATGGTAGTACATCATATATATCACATTATATATCACATTTTATCAAAACAAAAGACCATCACCTGCTGACTTGCCACTGCCTTTGCGGATTCTGCCATCTTGGCAAAGCTTTTGGCACATTCCGTGTCTGTCAAATACAAAGACACCAAATGAAACACTAAAGTTCAACAATTAGACAGTTTTGTTTTCAGACAAAACAAAAGATCAGGCTTTAAGAATGGACTGACCCAGGCTGAGGCGTTTCTCCACCCAGGCCAGCACATCTTTGGTGTATTTGGACCAGGCCTTGGCATAGAGCAAAGCCGACTCTACTCCACTGTCATTCTTCAGCAGAAGAAGGTCTACCTGCTCCACAGTGGACAGCTCTGGGGACAGAGCAGGATCTAGAAACACACATAAACAAGGAACACCACATATGAACACACGCACATCCAAAAAATACACAAATGCTCCACATTGTTGAAAAAGCACAGAGGTACCCTTTGAAGACATTTATATTTCCTCAACCATGTCTCTCCGCTCTCTAAAACTGTCATTTAAAATCTACTTTTTAAAATTATAGGCCAACAGTTACAAGGCAAATTTTACAAGTCAGCTTTATTAAAGGCAGCGACAGCCCTGAAATGGGTGGCAAACTTTCTTTTAAGAGGAATAAATACTCTCCACCATCCCCTTGACTTAAAAGAAAAAGAGGTCTTTCTAAAACAGACACTAATCTGTGGTAGCATTAGATGCATGTACGATTTATTGCATGGCATGAGCGTGAGAGATCATCTCGTAAAATCGGGGCTTAACCTTTGTCAAATGCACTGACACGCAACTCAGCTACGCCGAATCCAAGCACCCCGCCCAATAAGCCACATGTGGTTCCCATTCCTCACACAAACGTCCAAAAAACCCAAAGAATGTCAACCATTTTGCAAACAAGAAGAATGTCAGACTATACGAAAAACAACACAAGTGTGAAGGTACAGGGTGTGTAGAGCTCTCTTGTCGATTATGACCTATGTCAGTACAGCTCATCGGTCTCTCTGCTAGAGCAACACCTTTCATGTGTGGTTTGTTTAACTAGAAAACTTTGTTGAAGTTTGCATTACTGTTGCATTACTGATGAGATAGATTCTCTTCAACACATCAGCGGCAAGAGCCTGCTTGCTTTGTGATGAAACCCTTGGATAGAAGGAGGCAAGACATAAAGGAGAAGGAAAGGAAATCCATTTACCTGCCAGATCCTTTTGATTGCAGCCTCCTGAATCTTCAGAGAGGTTTTCAAAAGACTAGAGGAGAAAAAGAGAAAGACGTTTCACACGGGATGAGAAGTTTGATTACAGAGGTGAGGGATGAAAAGGTGCTTCTTTTGAGTGCTTCTCTTTTATCTTGCCTCTCGATGTCTCGGTTAATCAAACCTTGCTCTTTAAATCACAGGGGCCAGCCAGGTTTCATTATTTTCAAAGCAGACATCTCAACTTAAAGGGATAGTTCACCAATAAAAATTAACTGCCATTATTTACTCACACTTATCTATTTTTTCTGTGGAACACAAAAGAAGAATTCTGCAGAAGCTTCATGCATCTTTTTTTCCACATGACAGTTCATAGTAACCACATCTGTCAAGTGCCAACAAGGACATAAAAATCATACACATGCCATAAAACTAGTCCATACAACTACACACTTTTTTTATTCAGCGAAGACACATTACATTGATCAAAAGTGACCGTAAAGACACGTATTACGTTAGAAAAGATTTCTATTTCAACCAGATGCTGGTTGATCTTTCTATTCATTAAAGAATCCTGAAAAAAATGTATCACTGTTTCCTCAAAAATATTAAGCAGCACAACCATTTTATATGTAAGTTTCTTGAGCACCAAACCACAGGAATAAATGAAAGTGAAAGTGACGAAAGTGAAAGTGACGTAACATGTGGCCAAGTATGGTGACCTATACTCGGAATTAGTGCTCTGCATTTATCCCATCCAAAGCACACACACAGCAGTGAACACACACACCGTGAACACACACCCGGAGCAGTGGGCAGCCATTTTTTTTGCTGCGGCACCCGGGGAGCAGTTGGGGGTTCGGTGCCTTGCTCAAGGGCACCTCAGTCGTGGTATTGAAGGTGGGAGAGAGCGCTGTACATTCACTCCCCCCACCTACAATCTCTGCCGGTACGAGACTCGAACCCGCAACCTTTGGGTAATGAGTCCGACTCTCTAACCATTAGGCCACGACTTCCCCCGTGAATTGAAATGACATTTAAAAAAAAAAAATGCAGCCTTGGTGAGCATAAGATACGTCTGTCAAAAACTTTAAAAACATTTAAAATCTTACTGACTCCAAACTTTTGAATGGTAATATATTTCAAGTCTTCTGAAGCCATATGATACTGTTGTTTATAAACAGAGAATACTGGCTTAAATGTCAGTCTGCTTTTCACAAATCTATTGTATGACTCCAGAAGACATGGAGCACAGCATACAAGTCATAAGGACTACTTTAATGGTGCTTTATATTGGCAGACGTGGTCACTATGAACTGTTGTTGTATGGAAAAGAGCTGTGTGAAGAGCAAAAACTATCCTTTTGTGTTCCACTGAACAAAAAGCACACGGTTTAGGAACAACATGAGGATGAGTAAATAATGATTTTTTTAATAAACTCTTTTTTTCAAGGAACTTTTAAGACAATTGAGGTGATTACTTACACGACTTCTTCTGGCTTGGGGGTACCCCAACCTGGAGCCACTGTCCACATCTCCCATAAGGAAGTCAGACACTCTGAAATGGCAAAGTAAGACAAGTCACTGCTGGTCCACTGCACTTAACATAACTTGAACATAAATAATAAGTTTACAATATTATACTGCTATTTTTCATCCCAAATAGATCAAGAATGTGACCAGTTTTAAAGGTTAGTTCATCCAAAAATGAAAATTCTGTCATCATTTACTCACCCTCACATCATTCCTAACCTGCACGACTTCATCTTCGAACCACAAATTAAGATATTTTTAATATTCTCTGATCATTTTGAATAACAGCTTGAAAGCACATCTAATATGGTAAACAGAAGCTCAAATGCACTTGCTTGATGCGTGAGAACGAATAAGATTTGTTCTCGCATTTCACACAAGCATGGTTGAGCTTCTGCTGATCATATCTGATGAGCTCTATGTATGTGCGTTGATCAATGTTTACTAGGGGTGGGGGAAAAAAATCGATACAGCATAGTATTGCGATATTTTCCACGGCAATACTGTATCGATACACGGACGCCAAGTATCGATCTTTTATTATACTATTTGGTAGAATAATAAAATCAATTTCTTTACAATCCACTAGATGGTGGTGTTGAGTTTTTTTCTGGTGAGGTCAGCTGGGTCACCTTCAGCATGCAGTAAGTTAGTAAAATAAAGAGGGCGGCATTGTGGAAAGTTATCAGGAAAGCCCCGTCCGCATTTAAATGGGATGTATGGACTTACTTCGGATTTGTAAACAACTAGGGGATGTAAGTAGGGATGCCCCTAAAATATAGGCTACAAATAATAATAATAATAATATATATGGCGCGTCGAGCCCCGCTGTTCAGTGTTCAGTGCGCATGTTTCACTCTCCTCGTCACTGCGCGGTTTGACGCACCGCTCAATATTCCGGTCTATGAATGTACATTCCGCTCGTGAACCGCTCATGCTCATCGGAAAAGCAAAATCCGCTCAAATAACGCGCTGACAGGAAATTTCTATGCAGTATAGGCCTACTTGTTCCTGTTTGCAGTAGCGCTACTCTGCTGTAACATGATGTAGGCTAGTTCAGCTGTACTGGGCAACGCTGGTAAAATAATGCTACCTTCAGTGACGCTATGCTCTGCTCATATGCTTTGATATTAATAGCTTTGTAG